TGTCCTCGCCCGCTTCCTCCGCGCCGGCTGGGGCCACCAGCTTGTCCCCGGGGCTGGCGGGTGTCCCCCTGTCCCTGCTGTCGCCCACGCTCTCTAGGGGTGGAGAACACGGGGGTGTCAGGCGGAGATGTGCCCGGAGCATGGTGGGACGGCATCCCACTCAGTTCCCCCCCCACCTCATCGTGTCCCCAGGTCCCCCCGTCCCCCGCTCCCGGTCAGGGACCCCAGCACAAGAGGGCTCTCAGTACAGCCCTGGAGTGGCAAACGCCGGAGGGAGCTCTGGAACCCAGGGGAGGCAACATCGGCAGCTGCATCCCTTCCTGGGGCACGAGGAGCCAGGGTGGCAGGGTCCCCGCAGTGCAAGGGTGACAGCTCTCCTCCGAGCAGGAGGTGGCCCTGGCCACGGCCCCGAAGCCCCCCGCTCAGCGCCCCGTCCCCCGGCTCACCTTCGTGGGGGACGCAGTACACCGGCCCCTCGTCCGTGGTGTCGAAAGAGGAGAAGGAGCCGCGGGATGACCAGGATGGGGAAGGCTGCTCCACCACGGAGGGCGGCTCGATGAAGCTGCAGTTCAGGGTGTTCTCTAGGTCGTGGTGGGCCACTGCGAGGGCAAGGAACCGCTGTCAGTGCCCCTGGACCCCCACGCTGGCTGGGAGAGTGGGGTGCTGCGCAGGGCCCCCCTGCCCAACTCGCCGGTGGGTCTTGGGGACGGGGGCAGCGGCCCCCTGGGACGACTGGCTGCGGACAGAAGAACCCGTGCAAGCCTTACAACCCCCATTTATCCCCCCTCCACAGCAGGTCTCCAGCTCCCAAATCAAGGATGCACGTGGCGGAGGGACGAGCTGCCCCAACCCCTGGTCCCATGAGGGCCCGGCGAGCATCCCGGCAGTCACCCGTGAGCTGCACAACCCGGCACGGCCACCCTGCAAAGGGACTCCCGGCACCGCGACCGTCCCCTTCCAGGGGAAAGAAATGCTGACTTTAATTGCACTGATTTCCACTTCAGCATCACTGTTTGTGTTTTCCTTTCCCATCTGCTCCTGCAAGAGGTAGCAGGAGCGATGCCTGCAGCAGGGGGATGCACAGTGGGTTTTTTTTCCCAATTCTGCCACTTTTCAGTCCCTTTGCCAGCTTCTCCCATCCCAAAGCCGAGGAGGATCGTCCCCCCCCTTGCCACGGCACTGCCCTCTCCGCCACGGGGGCCACCAGCAGAGAAGCCGAGCGGAAGAGAAAAACCGCCAGAGAGGAAAAACTTTGTGTTAACAATATTTTCGGTTTCAACAGTTAAAAAAGAAAACAAGAACCTGAGCAGTGGCAGTTGTCTGGGCTGGGAGGGACTGGTTTTTCTGTCTGATCATTTTTAAGGCTTTTTGCTGGGTAAGTTCATGTCCCAACCCCCTTTGCGGGGCTTCCCCAGGTGCCCGCAGCTTCAGCATCGTCCTCGGGGTACCCCTGGACCGTGGCAGCACCAGCTGGGCAGAGGGCACCGACGCTCCCAGAAAGCCGGGCAGCACCAGATGCTCTCGTCCCCGTCCCCTGCCTGCGGGCGTTTGTCCCCTGGGCCGGGGGCAAGCTGCAAGGGCTGCCAGACCCCGCGGGCTGCCCCAGCGCAGCAGCCGTGCAGCGATACTTCCAGGCATTTGTAACCTCTGCCCGCACACTGCAACCATCAAGGTCATGCAGCAGTTTCCTGCTCGGTCTGTTTGAATCTTGCACCACGTCCCTGTTTCACAATAAAAAAATCTCTAAGTGTTATTGGGATGCCCACTGGAACATTTACTCTTTATTAGGCAATCTGGCTTCAGAGATGCAGGGTCGTTAAAATGACAGTGGTGATGCACACTCGCCCCTGCACAGTTTGGCTTCCTGTAGAAAGGGGAAAAAAAAAAAAAGCAGAGATATTTAAAGAGCAAACGGCCTGGAGAGGGGGAAGCGGCAGTTTCAACATGGCTTTCCTTGTAATAAAAACCAAAAAGGGAAAATTAAAAGCAGCCGTCTGGAAGTGGATGAAGGGAGATGCTTCCTGAGAGGAGGCTGGGACTCACGGCCACGAGGCGTCTCCAGGACTCGGATGAGACCCAGGACGTGGCTGCAGGACAAACAGAGGATGTGCAGTGCACCCGGATCTGGGCTCGGGGGCTCCTGCGTGGTCCCCTGGGATTTATCCCCCCCATAGCGGATATATCACGGGCAGATGCTTCCCACGGGTCCCCTCCCGCTGCTGCTCCCTGAAACCTGCTGAAGCCACAGCACCCGGGTGCCAACCCCCGTCCTGCCCGCATGGCAGCCGATCGGACTCAAGACCAGGACCGCAGAAAGGCTGTGGGAGGGTGGTCCCGGAGCCCTCCTGGCCCTCCCCTCCTGCTCAACCCAGGCTCCCTATGCTCGGCGTTGCTCTCGGGGCTGGCTGAGCTCGGAGAGGAGACGCGGTGGTGGGGTGCAGGAGCGGTCAACGCAGGGTGCAGAGCTCCAGTCAGTCCCAGCATCCACGGGGCGACACGCGACCGAGAGCCGTACTGGTACCACCGATGTCCCGGGCAAGCAAACCCCGTGAAGCAGTTTGGGCGCACCCCCCAGGGAGATGCTGTGGGTGCAAAGCTGGTGCTGAGGAGGGGGAGCAGCTTTCAAGGGAGGCACCCAGCACCCTAGACACCCGACGAGCTTCAGTGGGGCTTCAAAACCTGCGGCCCCACCTGGGGAGGTCCCACCATGCATGCGCTTGTGCTCGCTGGTGGTGACCATGGTCACATTTGACCCAGAGGGGTAAACCCGCCCGGCACCAGCAAACGCACGGCCACAGTGGTGGCTCTGCGCGGACACGAGTGGCCCTGGGGTGACCGTCCACTGGGTATCCTCAGCTCTGGCCAGCACCAGTTTCACCGTGACACTCCCACCGGGTCTGGAGCACCCCTGGCGCTGCCCTGGCACTCGGGAGGGGACATTTCAGCATCCCCCAGGCAGGATCAACGCGGGGAGCAGGCAGCCTCTGCCTCTGTGCCCCGGCCACCTCGGATCCCAGGCGGGG